GAAGCCCAGCCGGGAAGAGGGAGCGGGTGCTGATTGGAGGGCGAGGTGTCACTCAGAGAGTGCGGCCGCCTCTCGGGGAACGGATTGGGTGAGGGACCCCGGCACCCATCGCGGAGAGTGTCCCGCCTCTTGCGGCTTCTGATTGGGTGCAGAGCTGCCACTCCGTCGCTAGATGGGTTGTGATAGGTGCGTTTCTCAGGAGCGGGGCCGAGCTGCGGTTTATAATGCGGCGCTGGGAGCAGGGACCTCCATATAGAGTGTAAGGCCCCCAGCTGGGTTGGAGGGGTGGGTTAGTGTAGCTGCGGCCTGTCTGTGCTGTCCTGATCGCCTCTTAACAGCGGTAGGGGAGCCTGCCCCCCTCTGCGGGCTGGGCCCGGGCCCATGTTTGTGCTGGCCTCAATAAAGCCTTCTGCATGTCTGGTGTTGGTCGGTCCCTGTGCCGTGGGGTGGGTAACGCAAACTCTGGTGCTTGTGCCCAGCACCACTGCGGTGCAGATTTGGGGCTTCCTTGTTTCAACTCGGCCTCATCCCTTGGTGTTGGGGTGTGTGGCACTGCCAGCCCCGTCCTGCTTGGGCTGAACCTGGTGGTTGCTCACATGCCATTCTGATACTGAAGCTCCTCTTGCTGCTCTTGCAGTCTTCTTCCCTCCATTGATTTGCTCTAAAAGCCCTTTGGTTTTTTTGTTTTTCGCTGGTACTTGAATTAGCAGCAACTTCACCCTATCTGAAGACAGGCTGTGATGTGGGAACCACTCCCAGCCTGATCCCCAGCAAATCAGCCATTGATTTTTCTGCAGGGCTCTGTCCTCCTCAGGCACACCTTGATGGTCTATCAGCACTACAGCTGACCTGCCCAGCTCCCTGCTTCTCCTGGGTGTAAAACCGCTCGTTAACCCTCTTAACTTCTGGCTTTTGGGTGCAGAGATCACCTCTGCCTTCCAATGGCTCCCATCTCCTGCTACAGCCCATGGGTGATGCCTCCTGCCTTGTGTGCGGTGGCTGGTGGCAGTGGGGCTGCCCCAGGTGCAGGGTTGGTGGTGACTGGGGCATGGAGGAGTACATGGTGATGGGCACGTTCCTCCACCAGTCTCTGTCAATGGCAACCTGGTGGTGGGGACCAATCAGGGCCCCTGAGCACTGCTCGGGTGGGCTGTGCTGGTGAGCAGGAGGGAAGGGCTTCATGTCCTCAGGCTGTAGCGAGGTTGATAATAACACAAATTATTCCAAGCTCTTGTTGCCGGTGCAATCGGTACCGACTGTGGTCTGCTGTGCCCTTCAGCATCCACTGGAGATCAGGTGTTGCATCTTCTGGTTACAAACCCGCAGCGGTAATGAGGAGGATGCTTTGCCCTGCCATACCTCGGAGGTGATCTCCCGTGTCACCCTGCCATGAGGGATGAGCTCACACTGCGAGCTTTCTTCTTTTAGAGCTGCTTTCCTTTTAAAGGTGGCACATACTTATTTTCAGCTTCAGACGCGATGACTTTGTTTCCATGCATTTGCACGCTTAACCCTTTGGTTGCTACTTCCAGTTTCTTCCCAGCTGGCATTTTGCAGCACCGTTCCCACCACCAGCAAGAGTCATCACCCACGGGGTGCTGCCAAAGCAGCACCAGTGTTGAGAGGGTCCTAATGTCCCCAGCAGAGCCAGTGGCAGCCCAGGCGGTGGAACTGGCACTCTGCTTTTTCGCTCTGCGGAGGGAATATGGCTGGAGAGGGAGAGGGCTCCAAACCCAAGCCTATCAGGGGAGTAATTCAAAATAATCATAAGAAATTGAAGAAACAGCCTGAAAATGCAGGATGTGATTCCAGGCGGGTGAGCGTATGTGCTGCAGTTGGGTAGGAGTAATCAGCGCTTCGAGGGGAGCCACTTTCCTGGCAGCACTGAGGTCACGGCGGCTCGTGAGCAGGGCAGCAATGAGAGTCTTGCTGTGGTGGATGAAACAGACTTTGTACAAACTTGGAATGGAAATGGCTGCTGGGGAGATACGGAGCTACCTGCTCGACCCGTCTGCCGCGGGCAGGGTGATGTGCTGGGTGGCAAAGCAGCAGGAGATGCTCAATGGGGGAGATCTCCCCGAAGCACCCCAGCACCCCGGTGGTGCCTGGGGCGAAGTGGGGGACCAGCTGCTCCCAGATTCCATCCAGCCCTCAGACATCAGCCTGAAGCTCCCTTCGGTGGCTCGGATGTTGCCCTGATGCCAGCACAGTCCCTGTATGCCCCCACTCTGGCTGGTCCCCAGCCCCTCCTGCCCTGCAGCATCCTGGAGCTGCACACTCATGCCCAGGAACAGGGCTGGTGCCCGGTCCCCTGGTCAGCCCCTGCGGTGCCAGGCAAGGGTGAGGGCAGGGTGTGTGATCCAGGGCACTGGGGGGTTCTGGGGTGCTGCCCATGGGGCTGGTACCCCTTGAGGAAAGCTCTTCTTCCTCGGCCGAGTCCCCATCAGCCACCCTTGTCTCTCTGGGTATTTTTAGAAGCAAAGTGCTGTTTAATTGTGAAAAGGCAAAAGGCTGCCGCGGGAGGGGAAGCCGGGCGGCAGAGATAGGGCAGCTCCTTCCGCAGATGGTGCCAGCACAGCTCCAACTGCTGGGGCAACCGCCTCCAGGGGGTCAGCACCGGGCCCGCGTCCCATCCTGATCCCTACCGGGAGCCTCTGCCGGTTTCAGAGCTCGTGCCATGACCCCCTGCCCACAGGCCCAGCAGACGCAGGGGATGCCCCGGGGTTCCTCGCTGCTGTGAGTACCCCAGTCCCTTTCAGCCCCCCCGGGCCCCATGGCCGAGCTGTGCCCACCCAGGCGGGGGCTGGCGGGGGCTGACGTTGCTTGGGCTCCAGCTCCCAGGCGCCAGTGGCTGTTTTTAGCCGAGTGAAAGTCCGATGTTTTGAGATTTTCTATTTTGAGCCTCAAAGCTGGAGAAGTGGAGCGGCCCCTGACCCCCGTGTGTCTGTGTGGAACGGGGCTGGGAGCTGGGAAAGGCAGGCGCTGGGCGGCTGCTGCCTCTGGGGTGATGTGGTTGCCCCCAGGTCTTTGCCCCACAGTTGCCCTCGTGGCCCCTCGCACCTTAGGCTGGCGTTCCCATGCAGCCCCATGTCCCACGCTCTCCCAGGGGAGATGCCACCAGTATCTCTTTTCTCCTTTCCCTCCTGTAGCAAGATCCCAGTGAATCTCCTGAGGAGGATGTGGAGTGTCCCACCTGAGCCCCACACCCCTTTTACCTCACTGTGGGGTACATATGGGCCCCTCCAGAGCCCCCATGGCATGGCACAGCTACGTGCTGATGGGCAGCTGGAGGGGACAGCCCTGTCAGAGAGGCACAGGGCTCAGACTGGGCTGCTGTGGTGGCACTGCCAGCTCAGCCCCGTGCCAGTGACACTGACACATGGCGGGGTTTGTCCCCCTGCAGTATCCATGGGGTGTGCAAGAGGATGCTGGGGGTCACCTGGCAGCTGGGAGGACTGACGTCCTCTGGAGCTGCCACGGCTAGTTGTCACCACAAGCAGGTCACCCACACTGCAGTGGAGATGAGTGGGGTGACCCAGGTGACAACGAGTGCTGGTCATGGGTGCCCCTTGCTGGGCTCCCTGGAGGCAGACACCAGCCCCGGGCACAGACTTTGGCCTCATTTTATTCAATCCCATGTTCCCAAAGGTACCTCAAGGTGCAGTCCAGGGTCCGTGGCGGGTCTGGGTGCTGCCAGCGGCGAGCAGGGCTGGGGGTCACATTCCCAGTGTCCTGGTAGGACCCTATGTGCGGTGCCGGCGGGGGACGGCGAGGAGCCGTCGGAAGGCGGCACGGAAGTCCCGGTTGAAGAGGGTGTAGATGAGGGGGTTGAGGCTGCTGTTGCAGTAGCCGATCCAGAAGAAGAAGTTGAAGAGGGGCTTGGAGATGCGGCAGCCCTCCCCGCAGACAGCCCCCAGGCTGTAGGTGAAGAAGAAGGGGAACCAGCAGAGCACGAAGGCCCCCATCACCACGGCCAGCACGACGGTGAAGCGCCGCTCCCGTGCCCGCACCAGCCGCCGCCGGCACAGCAACATGCTCTGGTGCTGGCTCCGGCGCCGCCAGCCCGGCGTGCCCGCCTCCGGCCCCTTCTTGATGGGGGGGCACGGGGTGCGGGCGGCGAGGAGGGTGGCCGTCCGCCGGGCGGTCAGGTGGTAGATGCGGCAGTAGACGGCGACCATGACGAGGCAGGGGGCGAAGAAGGAGGCGGCGCAGGAGGCCAGCACGTACCAGGTCTCCTGGCTCAGCTGGCATTCCCGGCTCCCCGGCCGGGCCCGCAGGAGGGGTGGCAGGGCCACCAGGGCCGCCGCCGCCCAGACCGCCCCGATCATCCCCTTCACCCTCCCGGGGCTGCGGCGCAGGTTGAAGCGGGCCGCCCGGGTGACGGCCCAGTAGCGGTCGAGGCTGATGGCGCAGAGGTGGCCGATGGAGGCCGTGCAGAGCAGCACGTCCAGCGCCAGGTACAGGCTGCACCACAGGCCGCCGAAATACCAGTAGCCCATCACCTCGTTGGCCAGCGAGAAAGGCAAGACGAGGACGGCCACCAGGATGTCTGCCGAGGCCAGAGACACCAAGAAGAGGTTCTGCGGGGCCCGCAGAGCCCGGCTGGTGGAGACAGCCACCACCACCAGTGTGTTGCCCACCAGCGTGGCCAGCAGGACGGCCAGGGCGGCCAGCAGGATGAGCCCTGTGGCTGCGGGCGAGTGTGGGGGGCTGCTGGTGCTGCTGCCATTACCAGAGGTGTTGAGGAGGGGGCTGGCTGGCTCCATGCTGTCCCGGACCCTCAGGTGGACGAAGCCCCATGGGGCTGCCCCCCACCGCGCACCCCGCTCACCGGCCCCACAGCATCTCGTGGTGCAGCCCCGCCATCGCCGAGTCCCTGGGGGGGCCGTCCTGCCCAACACTGCTCCTGTATCGACCTGGTCTGGTTGCAAGGTGGAGGTGGTCCCAGCCTGGTGGCCACCTGGCCAGGCACACGGGGCGGTGGCGGTGCCCGGAGCCCCAGAGCGGCTCCCACAGCAGCCCTGCTGGCTCCGCTGGTCCCAGGCAGGAGGAGGGCGGGCGGGAAGGAGGGAGGGACGTCGGGCTGATATGACTGGCAGGAGCCCAAGCATCTGCGTGCAGTGGGAGAAGTTGTTATTGCTAACACTTAAAGGGCTCCTCCCAGGGTCACCATGGCGGGTGGGCTCCTACTGTGGGCGTTGGGGTACCCTGAAGGTTGGGGACACTGCCTGACCATGCCAAGTCGACATCCCGCTGAGCCCCAGCCCCACAGCACCACAGCACCTCGCCAGCTGCCCCATGCTGTGCCCGCTGCACCAACACACTGCCCTGGCACACAGCAGTGCAGCACAGACCCTGCTGGCTCAACCCTCTGAGGATGAGGCGGGTGGAAGAAGATGCTCCCTGTGACACATGGGTACAGGCTTGCTGCAAACCATGGGCGCAGGGTTTAGCCACGGCATCATCAGCATGTGCCACCATGGCATTTGGTGTGTCCCCAACACCAGCAACCCATACTGAGCCAGGCTGTGCAGTGGTGGTGTTTGGATGTGGAGGCAAATGGTGGGCATTGGGCACCGTCAGGCGCAGGCTGTGGCTCTGGCAGGGTTTGCAGAGGCAGGAGCCCCTGTGAAGAGACACACACCCTGTGCACGGGCACTCGGCGTTTATTAGACACCAGCTGAGTGGGGATGGAAAAAACCAGGTGGCCATGGGAGCGGTGGCCCCGGTGTCCTGTGCTGGCTAGAGCCGGGTGGCACTGTGTAGGGGTGGGCGAGGGGAGCCCACCCGGACGGTGGGGCCAGGCACCTCCTCGGGGTAGGAGAGCGCGGGGTTGTCCAGCCCCAGCCTGGCCTTGTCACGGGGAGGACCCTCGCGCTCCTCCCAGCCCTCGGGGCTGCGGCAGCGGTCAGTGCAGCAGAGGGTGGCCCGGGTGATGAGCCGGTCGAGGGGCTGCAGCGAGTGCATCCAGGCGGGGAGGAAGTCCCAGGTCTGCAGCCATTTGGGCAGGCGGCCGGGGCTGCGTGCCTGCAGGGCGTTCACCAGCCCCACGAAGAAGAGGAGGCTGAGGAAGGGTGCGCCCACCCCCACCAGCACCCGCCAGCCTGCCATGGAGATGCCGAAGATGAGGGAGGGCAGCAGGAGGAAGCAGACGATGAGGTACAGCACGGCAAACCAGCGGTACTTGGCCGTGCGCTCGCCCAGTGCCTTGGCCATGCGGATGGGCAGGCGGGTGAAGGGCAGCGGGTACCACAGCAGGATGCCGGAGATGTTGAAGAAGAAGTGGCAGAGAGCAATCTGCAGGGATGACATCCCCGTCAGGCTGGGCACATGGGTTTCCCTCAGCCCCTGCCTTGCCTCGTGCCCCCCACCAGCCCAGCCCTGGCCCCTGGCTGTCCATACCTGGAAGGAACTGGCCAGCTTGTCCCCTGGGCTGGCCAGGGCGGCCAGGATGGCAGTGGTGGTGGTGCCAATGTTGGAGCCCAGTGTCAGAGGATAGGCACGCTCAATGCTGATCACCCCCAGGCCTGTGGGAGAGGTACCCCATCCCGTCTCATTGCTCCTTGCCAGTGCCATCCACATGCTCTCCCAAGGAGGCATGGCTCCTCCCACCCCTCCAAGTGCTCTAGCACCCACAGGCCATGGTGGGGGAGACCAGCACATGGCATGGTCGGGACTCACCGATCAGGGGTGTGATGGCCGAGGTGAAGACAGAGCTGCTCTGCACCACAAAAGTCATCCCAGCACCCACCACCATGGCGAAGTACCCAGTGAGCCAGCTGAACGGGTGCGGGAGGTCTGCCATGACATGGCCATGGGCACAGACATGGACACAAGTATGGACATAAGCATGGACACATCAGCTGGGAGCAACCCAGAGCTCCCCACGGGGTCTAGGGCCAGGCTCTGGGTATGGGGTCAGGCTGTGGATATGGGTCCAGCCTGGTGGCTGGTGACCAGGGTGGTTGGGAAAAGAGGATATGGACACCAGGAGGTCATGACAACCACAAGCAGAGTGGGGATCAGGGGCAGGCAGGGGGCATTGGGGTCAGGCAGGGATGGGGGTTAGGAGCAGCCAGGGGTGGGCCGGAGGATGGCAGGTGGGGATGCGGATCGGGCAGGGTCCCATCCCACTCACCAGTGTTGATGACTTTCTGGATGGCTTTGGCCACTTGCCCCTTGAGCAGGGAGTTGAGGATTTTGACCAGGAGGATAAGGCAGGTGCAGAGCACGACGAGGGACCCGGCCAGCAGCACCAGCCCCACGGCCAGGTCGGGCAGCGGCGTGTCGGTGAAGAGATGCTCACCTGCCCCACAGCACGGCTGGACGAGGGGCTGGGGCTGGCCCGGCCCTGCTCAAAAATCTGCCCCCCGCAGACAGCCCCACACACCTGGACCCCAGCCCCAACATCTCCCAGCCCTGCCCCACAGCATGACTTCAGCCCCCTGCCCAGCATGGGGTTCCATCCCACATACAACCACCCAGCCTTGTCTGCACCTCCCCAGCCCCATGCTCTTTGCCCCCCAGCCCTGCCCAAGCCCCCGACACCCACTCACACTTCTGCCTGGTGACATTGTGGAGGCTCTCGATGCCCTTAGTGCTGCAGTGCCCTGGGGCCGTGCAGTTCAGGGGGGGCACAAGTGCCACAGCAGCCATCTGCAGGGAGAGGGTGGTCTGTAGCCAGCTCCACAGAATCTTTGGCCAGCCTCCGTCCACTACACACCCTCCATGGAATCATTTGGTAGCCTCAGCAGGGCTCTGGGCCCCTCACCTGTGGGGGTGCAGGACCACACCAGACGCGGATGAGGCTCCTGTTGCGCAGGCTCTCGTCCCCTGTTGCGATGCCCGTGATCACCGACTTGTCCAGCTGCAACAACACACATGCTGGAGGGGGCCCTCGGGGGCTGACTGCACCCACAGCTTGGGTACATCTTCACTAGGACGGGGACACCACTGGCAGTCTAGAGACACTTGGATACAACCACCATCAAAGGGACACCAGTGCTGGGGACATCACCACCAGCTTGGGTCGACCAAAGCTGGAGAACTATCATCAGCCTGGGGACACCACCCTGGGGGACACCATGTTGGGGACACCACGTTAAGGACACCTGGATGATGAGTTTTGTGAAGGGCTCCGTGATGATCTTCAGCAGGTCAGGGGCATCCTTCCCACTGCGGATGTTGAAGGTGGCTACGACCAGGCGGGTGACGTGGTGCAAGTACCCGCTCACCACCTCCAGTGGCAGCAGGACCAGCACCGACAGCCAGTTGAAGCAGTCATGGACTGTGGCACCGGCGAAGGCCCTGTGAGGAGGAGCCTGTCAGCATGGGGTGGACCCCTGGGAGCAGCCCCCAGCCCCCTGCGTTGCCTCTGCCCCGACCAGCTCTCACCGTTTGAACTCACTGCGGTCGCCAGCCTGCATGAGGGCCACAATGGTGTTGGTGACAGAGGTGCCGATGTTGGAGCCCATGATGATGGGGATGGCAGAGCGCACCTCCAGCACTGAGGACAGAAAGATCCACTAGCCCCTCTTGGCCCAGCTCAGGGTGACCCCATCTGGCCACCCCTGTCCCCCTGCCTCAGGTCCCCAGGAGCCCTGTGGGCACACTCACGCCCTGAGGAGACCATGCTGACAATAATGGAGGTGGAGGTAGAGGAACTCTGCACCAGCACAGTTACCAGAATGCCCACCACCAGCCCAGCCACTGGGTTGGAGAGGATGGCATTATCCTTGAAGATGTCCCCGGCCACCTTTCCTGCAAGAAAGTGTGAGCGGCAGGGTGCTGGCATGGTGGGTGCCACCAGCTGCCCAGATGCTCCCGCCACCCTACCTCCAGCCAGCTGGAAGGCAGAGCTGAGCACGTCCAGGGAGCACACAAAGAGGTACAGGAATCCAAACATCAGGGGCACCTTGAGAAGGGAGACACAGATGGACTGGACCCTGGCCCAGCACCCCAGCTCTGTGCAAGACAAGAGAGAGTGTTAAACACTGGCCATGGCATGGCCCTGGCTCCCCGGGCTCCCGCAGCCCTACGACATCCTCCCGTGGTGCCGGGGGGGCAGGGTTCATGTCCCCAGATGTGCCACGACTCCCTGGGTCCCCTCCATCTCCTCCCACTCTGGAGCGCCTTGTGCCAACCACCCCCATTGCCCCTCAGCTCTGCTTGGAAGACCTCAGGGAACCGAGGGTCTCCCCAGCCAGTAGGCAGCCTGCCGTGCTGGGGGTTCAGCTGGGGTGCCAGCACAAAGACTGGCACTGTGGGGGACCGGGGAGGAATTGCTGCCAGTCCCAGGGACAAAGTTGGGGCTCTCCTGGCACCCGACCATCCTGGCACCCTGAGGTCCCCCTGAGTGCTTCTGGCAGGTCTCTGGGGTGCTCCCCAACTTGTATGCCCACCACCCGAGGGTCTCACCTGGCTTCTGCAGCTCGTCCAAGCCCAGCCGGGGCCCCTGCCAGGGCAGCGCGTCCAGCTCGTAGCGCTCCCTGCCCTCGCCCAGGCGCCCCGGGGAGCCGGGGCAGGGGAAGCCATAGTCAGGGCAAGGCACCGCGCTGACGGTGAAGGGGCAGGTGTGGGCGCCCGGCAGCCGGTGCAGAGCTGGGGAGAGGGAGCACCCACGTTACGGCCCCATCCTCGCAGGGAACCCCCTGCAGAGGAGAGCCGGGCACCGCCTGGGCCAGCATTTGGCCAGAAGCAGAGCTGAGCTCGGTAGGGTGAGGAAGAGGAGGAGGAGGGCTGGGGGCACCTACCTGGGGGGCTGGGGCAGTAGGCGAACTGTGGCCCATGCACTACCCTTCCTCCCCGCACCGGGCAGCGGGGCAGGGCCGGGCTCTCCCTCCGGTAGGGCAGCATCGCTCCTGATGAGTCTGAGCAGAGGCGGCCACACGTCACCATGGTGGCTGGCACCACCGAGGAGCACCATCCCAGCACCCGATGGTCCTCCAGGCCACCAGCTGCCACTGTGCCACCCCAGCGAGCTCCCACAAGGGAAGGCAGGGGACACAGGGAGGGAACCCCTCCTGCTCACCTGGGGCTGGCCGAGCACTCAGGGCAGCACCATGTCCACATGCCACATCCGCGCGTCCCTCCAGCAAAGTGGCCTGAGGGGAACCGCGGCCCTTTATACGCACGCCAAGAGCAAAGTCTAAGGAGCCCCGCGTTGCCCCTCGCCTCCGCTCGCTGCTCACCTCCTCCCCAGAAATTCCTGCAGTTAATGGGTAACCCCGCAGCATCCCGCGTCAGCCGTGGCCCTGGGGCAGGATGGGGCACGCGCCCCCAGGGTACCGTGCCACCGGCGCATCCCGCCTCGCTCACCCGAGGCTTGGCATTGCCTGTGGGCGAGTGGCAGCCAGTGCAGTGGGGAGCGAAGCTGGATTGGTGCTGGAGCCCAGTGTCCAAGGGGTTGATGCCAGAGCAGCCTCAGCTCTCCATAGCTTAGTGCTGTTTGCTTCATCCCCTGCTTGAGAGGAAGAGGAGGAGGAGAAGGGCTCGGCGCTGGCGCTGCTGGGGTGTCCCACATTGGAGCTGAGGCCACACACACATCCACCATCCATGGAGTCATCGAGCTTCAGCTGCCAGGGGCCCGGCTCTGCCCAGGGCACGGGCTGTCCTCGCCACCGGGGCGCTGGTGGTGGGTTACGTCAGCACCAGCCTGGTCCCTGTGTCTTGTCGTGGTGCTGATGGTGGCACGCGACCCGGCTCAGCCCATGCCAACAGCTGCGCACAGAGCCATTGGCAGCGCGGCGAGGACTGTGTGGGGCAGAGCCCACGTCTCCCCAGCACGTGCGATGCCGGGGTGGGCAGGAGCGGAGTGACACCGGTGTTGCCGTCACCACCTCCTTGACGCTGTTTATCATTACCCGCTGTTTACGCACTTCTGGCCAAGTTTCCATCCACCCACAAGGTGCCCGGCCATCTCGCCTCCGCGTCCACCCCAGGGAGAGCCAGGGGACAAAGGCCCCTCCAGCCTGGTGCCTGTGCGTGGAGGGGGCCATGGCGGGGCCAGACCACTGCCACATCCCTGTTTCTCCAGGATTGGGCACTCACAGGACCTATCGTCATGGACGAGCCAGATCCAATTGTATGAGGGGAGCAAGGGGAGGTCCATTGGGTAGGTACCCCAGGGTGCTCAGGGAAAGCTTGTGGACATTCCTGCCACTGCTGGAGCATCACTGAACCTCCACTGAGTCACAAACTGATGGAGATGAATACCAAGGAGATGCCACAGCAGGTGACATGTCCTGCCTCTGCAGGGCCTGGACACCTTTCTGGCCAGGGGGGGTGCAGCCAGTGGCACCCACAGAGCCCTGTGCCAGACTGCAGTGGGCAGGAGGCTGGTGTCCGCACTTGCCCTGTGCCTGGGGGCTCTTGGCCAGCTGCCCCCACAATCATTAACATGGTGAGGCCCTGGCAGCTCCGGCTGTCACTCATTGACAGGGTCAGGGCTGAAGTCCTTGGCCATGCCGGCCCCACAGCTTCCCCTACACCATCAGCGGTGCCGGGAAAACAAGCTCTTGGCACTGCCCCTTGCTGCTGGGCAGCCCTGCCCTGGCCTGGGGGGTACTCTCTGTTGTATTGGGGAGGCTGGGGGGACATCACCGCCAGGAAAAGCACCGTCTGGCCTCAGCGGTGGAGGAAGGAAAGGGACGCGCATCCAGGCAATGCTCTTTTATTTCCCCCAGTTTGACACCGCAGACGGGACTGAGCAGCACCACGGAGACACAGGGGGCTCTCACCGGGGCCACAGCTGGCTGCGGCAGTGTGGGGCTGGGTGGCCGTGACCCTCATCCCCAGACGAGCCCTGGGGCTGCCCTGAGCCACCCCTCTGCCTCTGGCAGGGCAGTAGTGACAAAGCAGTGGCCCAGGGAAGGGCCCCGGCACATAGGGATGATGGAGGGATCTCCTGGCTGCTGTCGGGGGGCTACCTCCATCACAGACTGAGTCTGGGACTTCTGGGAACATGGGGCTGCCTGGGACAGGTCTGGCAGAGCCTGGCTCAAGGTTACTGCCCAACACAGCCTCTGGCAGGGATGCCAGGCTGGGTACTCGCACACCAGGCTGAAATGCTCAGCACCCAGGGGTGCTGCATTCCTCTGGCACCCTGCAGGACTGTCCCCAAGGGCTGAGCACCCACAGTCCCAGCTGGGCTGTGGCAGGGGACCTATGGGTGTCTGCTCCTGTGGATCACTTCAGCAGTCGCCCACACAGGGTCTCACTCTGGGGAGGAGGAAGGCTTATTTGGCACAACCTGCTGGCTCTGCCTCTGTTTGCTCGGGGCAGGAACCACATATGGCTCCGTGCCCTGCAGCACAATGGCACTGAACCTCGCAGGATCAGGCCCAGCCACACTCACGCAATGCAGATGGTAACAGCTTGCCCAGGGCAGAGGCCAGCAGGACCATGCTTACCCTTCCCAGGATGGGTAGACCTGCACATCAACAACAGGGGAACTCCTGTTCCTGCAGGGTTAAGGACCAGATCTGGTCCTCAGCTCCAGATATGTGTTCTCCTAACCCATCCTGCCCACAGCACCAGTGTTCAGGACTGGCGCCTGCCTTGCCATCCCACCCACCCGTGTCCTCTCTCCCACACACCCTTTGGCTGGAAGGGTGCTTTTCCCACCCGGACAGTCCACGGGCTGTGCCAGCCCCACACAGGCAGGATTTGCTGGGTCAGCATCTGTGCCACAGGCAGAGGCACTGGGCAGAACAGTGCCAGGCATGAGCGGGATGTTGCAAAGTGCTTTGCAACGGGGGTTCGAACTATGTACAGGACTCCCTTGATGTGCACCAGGATGTGACCCCACAGAGGGGCATGGCAGCGGCTCAACCACTCACAGCGACACGACGTGACAGTTTGGGACAGGACGTGGACGAATCTGCGGTCCAGGCAGTGTCGGCGGTGCAGGGCAGGGGCTGGTTGGGCCCCGTGTTGAACCCCGGCATGGCCCGGGGGTACCACGTGCTGGGTGCAGACGTGGAGCAGGACTCATCGGAGCTCGTGGTCGACCCGAGGCTGAGCCGGCACTGACTCTGCGGGTTGAGGATGGCCATTTCCCTCGGAGCCTGGGTGAGGGGTGTGGGGCTGATCCGATCCCTTGCAGGTGCTGCCGTCCTGCCCGGGGAGCTGTAGGAAGTCAGGCAGGACCAGGTCTTCCTTGGAGAGCAGCCCACGCTGGTCGTTGGCCCGGCAGCTCTGGGCACGGTTCAGCAGCTCCACCAGCCCTGGGGGAAATGCAGGTCATGCACCCGAGCCCAGTACTCGCCCTCCTGTCCTAACGCCTTGGCTGACCTCTCCACATGACGTGACCCTGAACATGAACCAGGCACAGCACCTACACCTCTCTGCCCCCTGCCAGTACCCATGGGATTCTGCACCCAGAAGACTGGGGAACCCCAAGTCCCCCATAGCCCATCCTCAGCAGACCAGGGGCTCTGTCCCTCACCCCATGTTTTACCCCAACTCCTCGGGTTTCAGACTTGCTGAGTCTCACCTTCTAGATCGTACGTGCGGCGGTTCAGGTTCATGGCAGCTGCAGACCGGGGCCGGGAGAAGGAGGAGGGCATCTCCCACAGTGTGTCAGACTCTGCTCCTGTTGGGCTTCCCTCCTGTGAAGAGCAGCCCAGGCCTCAGCAATGGGACAAGGAGGCAGTGCTCCCCCAGGCCACATCCTCATCGCCCTCCCACAGTTTGCCTTCTGCCTCGGCACCCACTGCTCAGCCCCATGGCATGTGCCGGGGTCGCAGCAGCAAGGCACAGCTTCCCCTGGGACCATGGCAGCAGCCGTGGGGGCATCTCTGGAGCTGTGGGATCTTGAGCTCACCTCACTCCGGAGCGGGGAGGAGGCGGCTGCGGCCTCGGCGCTCTCCATCACTCGCATGTCTGCAAGGTAAGTGATGCTCAGCGCCCTGTGCCAGCACCGTGGTCCTGGCCCAGCTGGCAACAGGCTGGAGCCCATCCCAGGGAGCAGGAGCCATGTCCAGCAGGAAGCAGCCTGGCTCTGGGAGCATTCTGCAGGGGTACATGTCTTGCAGGGGGGACACAGCTTGGAGGGGAGGACACTTTACCTGCTGGCGTTTCCAGGACAAGTTTCTGAGCAGCCACCGTGCTGACCAGCTTCTCCAGGTCCAGGGCGGCCGGCTCGCCGTGCTGCAACAGAAGAGCCCAGTGGTGTCATGCTCACTGTGGCACAGCAAAGGCAGCCAGGCTGAGGACCTGTGAGTTCCCTGGGCAGATCCTGTCAGGTCACGGGCTGCACAGTGCAGAGCACACCCACTGGTCCCTCCCAGCCCACGGCAGGGTGCCGTGGCCCATCTCAAACACCGGTAACTCTCCACGAGCCCACAGGCTGCCCCAAGCATGGACCACTGCTCCCCACCAGCTGGCCACTGCCAGCAGCCCACGGCCTGAGCCCCACACCCAGGGACAAGCCGGCCACAGGAGGCTGGGGCTGTGCCCACCGAGGTGTGAGCCCTCACCCGCCGCAGCAACGCCAGCTCCATCCTCACGCCGTACTTCCCCAGCACCGGCTGCAGCACCTCCCGGATGCGCTTGGTTGACTTTGCCGTGATGCGGATGGTCTTATTGAGGGAGGAGATTTCCAGCCTGTGGAGGGGGAGCAGAGGTTGTCTGCAGGCAAACGCAGACAGGCAGGACAGGAAGGGGCAGTCCCGGGGTGTTCGGGACTGCCCAGGGGAGTGGGCGTGGGGCACTGTGGGTGGCTGCTCATGATGTGGACCAGACACTTGTGGGCAACAGCATCAGCCCCAAAGCTCTCACTCACTCAAAGCTTATCCTGTTCTCCAGCTTCACCTCCTGTTCTGCCAACACAGAGCACTCCTGGTCCAGCACCAGTGCTTTCTGAAAGAGCCAAACCATCAGGAAAGAGCAAACAGAGCAGCACATGGTCACAGCCCACAACAGTCCGGCTGGCAGAAGCCCTCTCTCCCCACTTCCCACCCTACCTGCTCATTCCCCACCAGGTAGACCTTGATGTCGGGGAGGCTGAAGCCACGCTTCTCACATATCCCTGCCAGCATCTCACGGATGGAGTGGCCGGGCCGGACGGGGGCCAGCGAGGCCGTGCCATCGGGCAGGTACACGCAGCAGTACTTCATGGGCTTGGCCGGCAGATCTGTCTCGCTGCCCCCCAGGCTCTTCCGATGGCCCTGCAGGAGGGATGTGGCAGGATAAGCCTGGCCAGTGGCAGTGTGATGCCATGGGGCCAGCGCAGGGATGACCCACCTCAGTCCAGGGGCTGGCAGCTGTGCTGGCCGAGGACAGGAAGCCAAGATCCAGGCTGGCTGAGGAGTTGAGCGAGCCCTGGGACTCTCGCCACGGCATGGTGCTCCCACCACCTTCTCCCCCTTCTAGGACACACAGAGGGATGGTGGTGGGGACTGTGGACTCCCTTCAGAGGTGGCACGGTCCCAACTGCCCTGCTCGACACAGCACCTACCTGCCCAGGAGGGCTCCCGCCGTTCTCCCTTCCTGAAGGACCGGCGGGGGCTGCGGTTGGCACCACTGCCTGCCGTCTCCACGCCCAGTGGCAGGGACTTGCCCAGCTTCAGCTTTGTCTTCTGGGGCAAACAGAGAAGCATCTCAGCATGGGGACATCCGAGTCTGTCCCTTTCCTTTCCCAGGTCCCCTGACCGCTTGTCTGTCCTCAGCCTGGGGCTGGGTTTGCTCCGAGGAGCAGCCAAAGGACCCAGAACCGCTTTCTCAGACAAAGGGACAAGTCCCCGTCCCCCCTTCCCACCCTTCTCACCTTGCTGAGGTCAGGCGGGGGGCTGCTGCTGCGGGAGTGGGGCCGCAGGTCTGGCAGGGGCTGCCCTTGGCTCTCTGCCCGCAGGCAGGCCTGGTAGAGTGGGGATTTAACGAAGCGCGTGTAGCTGTCAAACTTCATCAGGTTAAAGATCTGCAAAGGGAGGATGTGTGGGCTTAAGACCCCTGCCCACCTACACCTCACTCTCGCCACTGCCCTGTGGCACGGCCCCATGGTGGCAGCAGCGATGGTGGGTGATACGCAGGGTGGTCCCGCAGCCTGCATCCCGTGGGTGAGGTGGGGCACGGGTGCTGCTCGTACCTGGAGCTGCTGGGTGCGAAACATGTCTGGGGAGGGGGTGGCCAGCATGTCCTCCCCAATCCAGGCCTGCTTGTCGATGTTCACGGGACTGACCGAGTGGCTGGAGAGGAACTCATCATAGATCCGCCGTGCCTCCTGGGCCAGCTAAGGGAATTTGGGGGGTCAGGCCAGGACCAGGAGCCCCCTCCTCACTGTCACCCTGTGGGGAGCCCTTGGCTCACCCCACAGAGCCACAGAAGGGGCTGAGTTCCCCTGGGACCAGCTCAGTACTTGCACATCAGAATGAGCGTTGGAGCCAGCCTCCACCACCCAGCACCAAGATCTGGGTACAACACCCCAGTCTCTTTGCAGAGGTACAGCTCAAAGCAGGAACTGTCACCCCCAGCTGTATGGTTCTGTCCCCACAAGCCCCCATCTGGCTCTATGCCCTTGGTCTCTTGTATTCCCAGCAGCATTCTCCACCCTCTGGCCACCCTGGGCTGGAGAAGCCTGTCCTGTTCCATGGACTGTGGCTTTTCAGGTGCATATCACATCCATCTCCTTGTCCCTCCCATAAGAGACTCCAGCCTGTCCAGCCTCCCAGAACAGGGGTCTCGCAGGACTCTGGGACATACATGGCATGCCATGTCATGCCAGCTATCTCCACCTCTGTCCACGTCCCTCCCAGCAGCTGCGTGACCCTGGCTCCGCTGCACCATAGCTTCATGGAAACTAGTACCTGCTGCGTGTCACTGGCTGGGATCTGCTGGAAGCGCTCGCATGCCTGCCAGAAGTAGACGTTTTCAGCACTGAACTCCTTCTTGAGGAATTCCTGTGGGGCAGAGAGAGCTGCTGGCCTGGATGGCACTGCGGCTGTGGGACCGCTTGGTGGCCGATGCCCAGAAGCTGATGATAACAAGGATTGAGGTCTGGGCTGTGACACTCACAGTGAAGTAGGTGACAGCCACGCGGTCCTGCAGCAGCGTCTCAAAGGATTCAGCCCAGCTGACCACAGACCCCTGTGTGGAGCCGCAAGAGGCTGACGGCCCCGGCAAGCTGTTCACGCTGTGGTTGCTGCCGCGGGCCCTGGAGGCATTTAACTCTGCGAGAAAAAAAAATAAAGGGTCAGTTCTGGCTGCTTGGGTGTCCCACAGCATCACCTTCCCTGTTGCCAGCAGCCCCCATATCTACAATGAGTTCATTTGCCCCATCCTGTTGTGAGCCAGCGAGACCTGAGGAAGGGAGCATGAGGAGCTGGTATCACAGCGGCATCCTCGGCGGATCAAGCGCTGTGATGCCACAGCTGGCACCTTCTGGTGTGACAGCCCTCCCTGCCAGCACTGGCCTTCCTCCCTGGGTGTCACGGTGACTCCATCTGTGACTCATCTCCCGGGGGAACAAAGCTGATGCAGGGGGAAAGCACCCAGATGGGGAGGGAAAGCAGGGCGGAAGGGGACATGGCCGGCACACAGCGTGGAGGGAAGCTCAGAGGATGGGTAGAGGTGCCGGAACTTGCCTTCTCCATTCCTCTGGCCATGACAAGGAACAAACCCAGCGAGAAGAGGGCACAGAATGTCATCCCTGGCTCCCAGCCTCAAGGAAACCCTCCCTCGGGGAAACCCAAGGTGACCATGCATTCAAATTGAGTCCTTCCATCAAAAAGACGGAAGTTCCCAGGGGCAACCCCAGCTTCTGAACTGGTTTGGGTGGTGAGCGACTGGGAGCAGAGGGTCATTTGCAAGAGAAGGTAAGGGTATGGGAGTTTGGCTCTCCCAGCAAAGCCGGCAGGAGCAGAGGAGGCAGCAAGCTGCTACGTGGCCGAGGCTCCCCATCCTCCTCCTGTGCAAAACACGGGGTAAGTGCACACACCCTGCAGATGGGAACAGCAACCCCCAGCACCTCACGCTGGAAGGATCCTGCAGTAGGACCCAGATGTGGGAATGGGCCAGCTAAGATATCTGGTGCACAATGAGACAGATGGACAGACAGACAAACTCCCTCAGGGAACCCGGGGCTGGCTGGTACCCGGTTTCTGCTTGCCCTAGGAAGCCCCAAGCCCTCCCTCCCTCTCCAGCACCCAGGGAAGTCAGCTGAGCAGCCAGAAGGGAGGGACAGGTGACACGGGGCTGTGCGGGAAGGACGGGGGTGGGTATGGCTAGTCCCTGGCACAGGGCTCAGCCCACCACTGTGGGGGTCCAGTCATGCACTCGCCCACAGCACAGCCTGTGCTGACACAGGACCTGGCTCTCTGCTGGCTCCTTGCCCCTGGCACCAGGCTGTCTGTGGGCTTCCCCCTCCCCTGAAGATGATGCCGGCCTTCTGTCCCAGAGCAAAGAGCAGCCTTACCTCCATCCGACACAGCCGGGCCCTGCGGGGGGGGAGAGAAGAGAGGTGAGAGGGGCCACACGGCATCTGCCAGCCCAGTGGAGCGGTACCCGGGCAGGCAGCAGCGTGAGGGCAAGCCTAGTTCGAACCCAGGAGCAAACCCTGCTCTGGTGTTAGCTGCAACCAGGACGGCTGCCCCATGGCAGAGGCAGGAGGGCAGTGAGTAGGGGTGGGGAGTTACCAGGGGTGCATGGCTTTTCTCCCCCCTCGGGTGCATCTGCTGCCCCGGGGCCAGGCCAGCAGTTGGGAAAGGGCAGATGCTATCAGATGTAACCCTGCCACTGCTGCCCCGGGGAGGAGAGAAGCAGCCTCCCCTGCACAGGAAGAGGAGGGGAGGAGGGGAGGGAAGGAAGGACAACCACAGCCCTAGGCAGGCAAACTGCTTGTTCCCTCCTTCTGTGGGGCCTGGGACTATGAGAGAGCAGACGCCCGAAACCAAGGACCAGGTCCTGCCAGAACTCCCAGTGAAGGAGTTCTGGCAGGACAGGGTGCCCTGCAGCATCCCCTGAGCTGCCCCAGATAACAGCCATGGGGGTGTGGTACCCCAGGACCCACAGCAAGCAGGCAGATGGGCAGAACCTCCACAGTCAAAGGTCAGCCAAGTACTCCCTGCGTGGTGTTGCCTCTCGTCACCACCTGGGGCAAAACTGGTGGCCTTGATCTGCTTGGCCAGTGTCCCCCACCCTGCCACCCCATGCACCCCAGCCTGCCCTGCACACCCCTGCCTGTCCCCATCCCAGTCTCACACACCCCAGCCCCACAATCCCACCCCTGCCCGTCCCTGCTACTCTGCCCCACATGCCGCTGCCATACCCCTTACCCCAGCCCCACACATCCCAGCCCCACATGCCCATTACCCCAGCCCCACACACCCCTGTGTTGTCATCTGCTTGCTCTTCCCCTGCACCCCTGTTGTCCACACTCACATAGCTCTGCCCTGCACCCCAGCACTGCTGACTCCTGTTTACCCCAGCTGCATACACCACTGCTTGCCCCCTCCACTTATATTACTGTACACCTCCACTTATATCGCTGTCTCAGCCTCATAGACCCCTGCCTTATCACTACCCCAGCCCCACAAGTCCCTGCCTGCCTGTTACCCAGCCCCAAATACTGTCGCCTCCCTAATACCCCTCTACATCTCTGCCTGCTGTGGATACCCAAGCCCCATACACCCCTGTCTGTACATTTCCCAGCCTCACACCCTCTGCCTGCCTGTTATCCCCTCCACATCCCCCTGCCTGCCTGTTACCTGGCCCCATACATCCCTCTGCCTGCCCAATACCCAGACCCACATCCCCCTGCCTGCCCACTACACCGTCCCAAACATCCCTCTACCTGCCCGTTATCCACACCACATCCCCCTGCCTGCCCGGTACTCGGCCCCACACACCCCCTGCTATCCCGGTACCCAGCCCCACACACCCCCTGCCATCCCAGTACCCAGCCCCACACAGCCCCTGCCATCCCAGTACCCAGCCCCACACGGCCCCTGCCATCCCGGTACCCAGCCCCACACACCCTCTGCCATCCCGGTACCCGGCCCCACACACCCCGGGCCATCCCGGTACCCAGCCCCACACAGCCCCTGCCATCCCGGTACCCAGCCCCACGCCGTGCCGCTGGGCGGGGCCGCCCCGGGGGATGGGGAACGGCGCCCCGGTCCGGTCCGGGACTCACCATGCGGCCGTTGTGGACCAGCAGCAGTTTGGCCTTGCCCTGCATGCCTCCTTATCACTACCCCAGCCCCACAAGTCCCTGCCTGCCTGTTACCCAGCCCCAAATACTGTCGCCTCCCTAATACCCCTCTACATCTCTGCCTGCTGTGGATACCCAAGCCCCATACACGGCCCAGCGCGCTACCGGCGCGGCCCGCGGCCCCGCAGCATCCCCGACCGGCGGCGCGGCGCGGCGCGGCTCTCCCGGCCTGGCCCGGAGCTCCCCGGCACTACCGCTTTCGGCTGCCACAGGAAGTGTCGCCATGGGAACCGAGACCGCAGCGGGGGGAGCGGAGCCGCCCTCCCACCCCGCGCCGCCGCCGCCGCCACCGGCCCCGGCACCGCCCCGCTGGGCACCGGCACCGGCTCCGTGCCAGGAAGCGCCGCGGCCCCGTCCCCACTCCATCCCAGTCCCCATCCCTGTTTCTGCATTTGTGACCCCATCCGCATCCCTGTTCCCATCCCCATCCCAATCCCTCTCCCTGCCTCCATCTGCATCTGTGACTCCATCCCCATCTACATCCCTGTTCACATCTGCATCCCCATTCCCATCTCCATCCCCATTTCCATCCCCATTCCCATCTGCATCTGTGACTCCATCCCCACCTACACCCTCATTCCCATCTGTATCCACATCCCCGTTCCCATCTCCATCCCCATTCCCATCTGCATCCCTGTTCCCATCTCCATTCCCATTCCCATCTGTATCCCTGTTCCCATCCCCATCCCAATCCCTCTCCCTGCCTCCATCTGCATCTGTGACTCCATTCCCATCGACATCCCCGTTCCCATCTGTATCCACATCTACATTCCTGTCCCCATCCCAATCCCCATTCCCATCACTATCTGAATCCCCAGCCACATCCTGGTTCCCATCCCTATCCCTGACTCTGTCTGCATCTGTGTTCCCATCCCCATCTGCGTCCACATCCCAATCACTGTTCCATCCCTGAATCCACCCCCATCTCAGTCCCCATCCAATCCCTGTCCCCATCCCACTCTGTCCCCATCATCAGCACGGCCTGTGCCACCTCGTCCCCACCCCATCGCCACCACTCCCAGCAGCCTGGCCAGCCTGAGGGGACTCCTCCTGGGCACCGCATCACCCCGGGGAAGGGGGCTGCAGGGGCCAGGAGGCATCAGCACACCCAAAGCACCCTTCCACCAGCCTGGTGCCACCTGCCCTGGTCACCCAGCGGTGGGTCCGGGGGTGGCCCCCAGGGCCACTCTGCTGCTGCTGTTGGTGGCCAGTGTCCGTGGAGAGCTGCCTGCGCCATGGAGGCCGGCAGAGCCTGGCAGAGAGGAGCGGTGGACGTGCAGCTTGGAGCCTCCAAACTGATGCCTAAGCAGTTTTGCCCATCTCCTAGGTCGGGGTTCCATGTTGATCAGCAACCACAAACCAGTCAAGGATATTTTAGGATATTTGTTAGGAAATATAAGTAAGTAACAGTTACAGGATAAACCGCAGAGCTCCATGGCAACCCACTCATGGAAATGCTAATAACTGGGACTTAAGGTGGGTGATTAACCTATCAAAAGCAGAACCCTAACATTAAGTTGGGTGCAGATCTATGCAGAGAAAAATGAAGTGTTCCCACCGTGAAAAAGCACAAAAGCAGCGTGGCTTTAGCAGCCAACAGCCCTGGAAGGGTCTCCAGGCAGGGGGGAGCAGAGGGTGGTCCCTGCTGCTGCCCCTCTGCCCCCCACGGCAGCAGGGAGGAGCAGTGGGGTGGGGGGCGATCGTGCTTCTCCCCTTCCCTTTGTCGGAGCGTAGCTGTGTTGTGTGCCCAGCCCCACGCCGTGCCGCTGGGCGGGGCCGCCCCGGGGGATGGGGAACGGCGCCCCGGTCCGGTCCGGGACTCACCATGCGGCCGTTGTGGACCAGCAGCAGTTTGGCCTTGCCCTGCATGCCTGGCACTGCCCGGCCCAGCGCGCTACCGGCGCGGCCCGCGGCCCCGCAGCATCCCCGACCGGCGGCGCGGCGCGGCGCGGCTCTCCCGGCCTGGCCCGGAGCTCCCCGGCACTACCGCTTTCGGCTGCCACAGGAAGTGTCGCCATGGGAACCGAGACCGCAGCGGGGGGAGCGGAGCCGCCCTCCCACCCCGCGCCGCCGCCGCCGCCACCGGCCCCGGCACCGCCCCGCTGGGCACCGGCACCGGCTCCGTGCCAGGAAGCGCCGCGGCCCCGTCCCCACTCCATCCCAGTCCCCATCCCTGTTTCTGCATTTGTGACCCCATCCGCATCCCTGTTCCCATCCCCATCCCAATCCCTCTCCCTGCCTCCATCTGCATCTGTGACTCCATCCCCATCTACATCCCTGTTCACATCTGCATCCCCATTCCCATCTCCATCCCCATTTCCATCCCCATTCCCATCTGCATCTGTGACTCCATCCCCACCTACACCCTCATTCCCATCTGTATCCACATCCCCGTTCCCATCTCCATCCCCATTCCCATCTGCATCCCTGTTCCCATCTCCATTCCCATTCCCATCTGTATCCCTGTTCCCATCCCCATCCCAATCCCTCTCCCTGCCTCCATCTGCATCTGTGACTCCATTCCCATCGACATCCCCGTTCCCATCTGTATCCACATCTACATTCCTGTCCCCATCCCAATCCCCATTCCCATCACTATCTGAATCCCCAGCCACATCCTGGTTCCCATCCCTATCCCTGACTCTGTCTGCATCTGTGTTCCCATCCCCATCTGCGTCCACATCCCAATCACTGTTCCATCCCTGAATCCACCCCCATCTCAGTCCCCATCCAATCCCTGTCCCCATCCCACTCTGTCCCCATCATCAGCACGGCCTGTGCCACCTCGTCCCCACCCCATCGCCACCACTCCCAGCAGCCTGGCCAGCCTGAGGGGACTCCTCCTGGGCACCGCATCACCCCGGGGAAGGGGGCTGCAGGGGCCAGGAGGCATCAGCACACCCAAAGCACCCTTCCACCAGCCTGGTGCCACCTGCCCTGGTCACCCAGCGGTGGGTCCGGGGGTGGCCCCCAGGGCCACTCTGCTGCTGCTGTTGGTGGCCAGTGTCCGTGGAGAGCTGCCTGCGCCATGGAGGCCGGCAGAGCCTGGCAGAGAGGAGCGGTGGACGTGCAGCTTGGAGCCTCCAAACTGATGCCTAAGCAGTTTTGCCCATCTCCTAGGTCGGGGTTCCATGTTGATCAGCAACCACAAACCAGTCAAGGATATTTTAGGATATTTGTTAGGAAATATAAGTAAGTAACAGTTACAGGATAAACCGCAGAGCTCCATGGCAACCCACTCATGGAAATGCTAATAACTGGGACTTAAGGTGGGTGATTAACCTATCAAAAGCAGAACCCTAACATTAAGTTGGGTGCAGATCTATGCAGAGAAAAATGAAGTGTTCCCACCGTGAAAAAGCACAAAAGCAGCGTGGCTTTAGCAGCCAACAGCCCTGGAAGGGTCTCCAGGCAGGGGGGAGCAGAGGGTGGTCCCTGCTGCTGCCCCTCTGCCCCCCACGGCAGCAGGGAGGAGCAGTGGGGTGGGGGGCGATCGTGCTTCTCCCCTTCCCTTTGTCGGAGCGTAGCTGTGTTGTGTGGCTTGGCTTTGCAACAGGAGTTATAAATAAAAATGTCTCACCAAGAGTGCGTGACTCACGGTCCTCACCACAAGGATAACCTCTCTGCTAGGAAACCTGATCCGAGGACTGACTGCAGCATGCAAGAATCAAAGACATTGCTTAATTAATATATTTCATCCAAATGGTGAAGGCATGAGCCCCTCATCCCACCTGGGCGGGGGTGGGCTGCTGGGGAAGGTGCCTCTGCCCCTCTGGACCCCCGTCCTGTGCCACCCCCAAAATCCATCTGCCAAGGACCTGCTCCAGGGCCCAGTGGTTTCCTCGGTCAGCAGCAGGGAGCTGGGGTAGTGGCTGACGTGGCCTCCAGCAGCTCCATCCTCAGCGTTACCTCCTGCCACCCTCCGAGGGGGCAGCCCGTGGGTGCCTGCTCGGGCAGGGTGGGACGTGGGGACGTGCTGAGGCATCACCCTTCGCACAGAAGACGGTGTCAGCCCTGTGCACCGGGACACGGCCATGCCCGTGGGCTGTCTCTGCTGCCTGGAGGCTGGGGCTGCGCCGCCTCTCCCAGGATCACACGCCGGCTACAGGGTTCCACCCCGAGGCGATGCCCGTGGTGCCCGGGTACCGCATCCTCCCGCTGTGCTGCCATCCCCGAGCCGGAGCCTGGCCCCGTGGGGAGAGGGACGCCCTGTGCCCCAGTGCCCCGGCCTGGCGGGTCCTGGTTGATCCCGGGGGTAGGGGACGGCGGGGGGATGGCGGGGCGACAGCTGGCTGGGGGATTTGCCGAGGGCATTATTTAATGCTGTGGGTAAATGGAGAAACAGCAGCTAATTCTGGAGCCCATAATCCTCTTCCTCCCCCGGGGATGGGGATCGTGCCAGTTACGCAGCCGCTGGCGGACCCTGGGGACAAGCCCCTGGCAGGTCCCGAGGTGTGCCACGGGACGGAGCGACTCCCAGACCATGGGTGATGGGCAGAAGGTAAGCGGGGTCTGGTGACATCCCTCCTGTGCCAAGGTGCTGGCACCAGCTCCTGGCTGCAGTGTCAAGGTGCCTGGCAGAGCAGGAGCAGGGCTGTACCCTGGGCTTGTCCCCTCAGCACCCCCAGGAGCCGGCAGGGCTGCCAGGGCAGGGACAGCACATCCGGGGGTGGGGATTTGGGCTGGACAGATCTGCTGTGCGGCCACCCTGAGCCTGGACACCTTGGGAGCCAAGACCTGAAGCTCACTCAGGCCATAGCCACAGGGTACCCATGGCCAACAGTGCGCCCAGCTCCCCCCTCCAAAACACGGGTGCTCTGCAGCCCCCCGGCACCCCGCAAGGCTCCTCCAGCACCCCGCGCCCCCAGGGGCTGCTCTCCGTCATCCAGAGGCTGAAGGGCTCCCCGGAGCAGGAGCTCCGCATCGTCCTGCTGGGGCTGGACAACGCGGGGAAGACCACGCTGCTGAAACGCCTGGCGTCCGAGGAGGTCAGCACCATCACACCCACCCAGGTAGGTGCTGCTGGGGGCCACGGGCGGTGGGAGGGTGGCAGGTCCTACCCTCCCCTTGGGTGATGCCAGGGTTTGTGTCCCTGTGCAGGGCTTCAACATAAAGAGTGTCCACTCGCACGGCTTCAAGCTGAACGTCTGGGATATCGGGGGGCAGCGCTCCATCCGCCCGTACTGGAGGAAGTATCTGGGCAGCACTGACCTGCTGGTGAGTGGGGCAGCCCCCCACAGCCCTGTGCATGGAGAGTTGTGCCCTCCGTGCTGGGTCCTGTACCCCAGCAGAGATGTGTAGCCCCCTCAGAAGGCAGAGGGGCCTCTGAGGCAGCTGGGCACAGAAGAGCCGCTGACTGTCCCTTTTGTCCCCACGGCAGATTTATGTCATTGACAGTGCAGACCAGAAGCGCTTCGAGGAGACAGGGCAGGTATGAGGGGTCTGGTGGGGGGTGGCTGTGGGGTCCTGGGGCTCGGAGCCATCCAGCAGCAGCTCTCTGACGACTGGAGTGGGGAGTGAGTCTGCTCTCAACCATGGAGCAACACTTCTGTGGGGGGCAAGCTGTCCCCAAAGCTACATGGCAATGGCTCATGATCAGAGCCTCAGCACGCAGAGCCACCTCACCCCATGGCAGATCCATGCCCAATAGCTCCCTCAGAACTGGGTGTGATGCCCCTCAGGTACTCAACACGGGGTGGCTCTGCCCCTGGTGAGAGTGACCCCTCGGTTGCCAGCCCTTCTACCACCTCCCCAGTGCCAGGCTAGTGATATGACAAAGCAAAGGTTTACGAGTAGCAAATTCAGAGTTACAAACCCTAGGAATGAAGCTGGAGAGGAGAAGGTGAGACTCCAAGTGCCAGTCTCGGCTGTACCAGCACCAGACGGCGGCGTGGGTGTGCCAGACAGCACGGGGCTGACAGCAGCCTCCTGTAGCTGCCCTTTGCCCAAGGCTCTTGGTGCTGGGAGCGCTTTAGCCTTCAGGTAGTATGATATGTGGCTCCTGGGCTTTCTTCAGGGAAGACGGAGCTTCAGGGGTGCATCTCTCCCTTGGGATGTTGAGACCTCCTGGCTTCTTTGGCTGCAATAAGAGCACCAGAGAGAGGGGAGTGAGGCGCTTTGGGAGACTGAGGCGCCTCAGCCCGCCCTGGGCAGCCCAGACAAGCAGCCCTGAAGCTCCATGGAGGAGAGCAGCAGTGGGCAGCAGCCCTGGGTGATGGTTCTCTCTTGGCAGGAGTTGGCAGAGCTCACTGAGGAGGAGTCCCTCACGGGTGTCCCGCTGCTGGTGTTTGCCAACAAGCAGGACCTCGTGACTGCAGCACCCGCAGCCGAAATTGCAGAAGGTCTGAGCCTCCACACCTACCGGGACCGGGAATGGCAGATCCAGGCCTGCTCAGCCTTGTCAGGGGAAGGAGTACAGGTAAGAGATGGGGGCCTGCGGGCTCCGCAGAGGCAGGAGAGGACCTAAGCACCTGCCATGCTCTTGGGGCTGTGCTCATGTCTCTCTCTTCCCTCCAGGATGGGATGAACTGGATTTCCAGCCAGATCATGAATAGGAAGAAGTGAGAGCTGCAAAGTGCCGGACTGGACTGAACTGCAGGTCCCTATGCCATGTCCAACCCCCCTTGTCCCTAGACTCCCCTGAGGGCTCAGCTGGGCCCTGAGATTCAGACTGCCATGCTCAGATGGGCTTCCCACCCAGTCTTCCACTGATCAGTCGGCTTCCTCTCTCCCTGCTCCTGAGCTTCCATGAGCTCCTTATACCCCCGACCCTCCTGCAGCCCCAGTGATATCAGAGGGAAGGGCATGTCCCACTGTGTCAAGGGCTTACACACCTCCAGAGTGAGCACCAGCTCAGGACTTGTGCACCCCTGTGGAGGCTGCTGCACCCCACCACAGCACTGGCTATACCCTCAAACACAGCACATGCAGCCAGCCAAATGGTGTGTATTCTCCTCCGCTCCTGTAGGATGTGACTGGTGTTGCCCCAGCTGCAGCAGTTGGCTCAGGAAGGC